AGAGGCCAAACCTAAGATTAATTGGAGTCTCTGAGGCAGATAGAAAGACAGAGACCACCCTGGAACAAACATTCCATGAAATTATCCAAGAAAACGTTCCTCATCTCATTAGAGATGTGACCATTCAAACACAAGAGAGTCAAAGAAAACTGCAAGACAACAAATGAGAAGACCAACTCCTAGACATAGTAATTTGCTTATACAAAGTAGGTATAAAAGAAAAAATTCCTAAAGGCAGCAAGAGAGAAAGGTCAGACTACCTTCTGGGGGAGACCAATTAGAATAGCAGCAGACTTATTTACAGAAACACTTCAGGCTAGGTGAGATTGGAGTACAATCTTCAAAGTTCTCAAACATAAACAATTTCAACCGAAAATTACCTACCCAGCTAAGCTAAGTTTCATCAGCAATGGAGAATTAAAATCCTGTCCAGACATTCAATCCCTAAGAGTTTATACCACCTCCAGACCAGCTCTAGAGGAAATACTTAATAAAGTATTAAACGCAGAAGAAAGAAAAAAAAAGGACAATGCCCTTCCCAAGAAAGCAGGAAAAAGATTGAAAACATACATAAATCAACCCAAAAAAACAAAAGAAAGACAACAAACAAATAAACAAACAGCAATAGCAACAACAAACTCTATAAGAACCTCATGACAGGGATAAATTCTCACATCTCAATAATTAGCCTGAATGTGAATGGACTAAATGGACCACTGAAAAGACATAGAATGGCAAATTGGATAAAGTATCATGATGTAACAATATGTTGTCTCCAAGAGACTCATCTTATCAGAAAGGACACTTACTGACTCAAAGTAAGAAGATGGAAAACAAATTTTCAAGCAAACAGAACACAAAAGAAAACAGGAGTTGTGATCTTAATATCAGACAAAATACTCTTTAAGGTATCAAAAATTTAAAAAGATATGACAGAACACTACATAATGATAAATGGTTAAATCCATCAACAAGAAATATTCACCCTAAACACAGTATCCACCCAATGTAGGAGCACCAACTTTCATAAAGCAGCTTCTAGGTAAACTAAAAAAAGCTATTGATGCTAACACTATCATAGCTGGGGATTTAAATACCCCTCTAACAACCCTAGACAGATCATCAAGACAAAAAGTCAGCAAGGAGATTCAGAACTTCAATGTGATGCTTGGCCAAATGGACTTAATTGACATCTACAGAACATACCATCCAACACCAACGGAATATACATTCTACTCATCACCACATGGAACGTACTCTAAGATTGCCCACATCCTCGTCCATAAATCAAGCATAAACAAATTTCATAAGACTGAAATACTGCCATGCACCTTCTGAGACCTCAGTGAAATATCAACACCAACAAAGTTTCCACAAAACCCATAAAGACATGGACACTAAACAGCATGATGCTAAGCAACTCCTGGGTCAACACAGAAACCAAAACAGAAATTAAAAGATTCCTGAAAACAAATGAAAACAAAGAAACATCTTACCAAAATCCCTGGGATGCCATGAAAGCAGTCCTAAGAGGGGAATTCATATCTCTATGAACGCACATGAAGAAAATGGAAAGATCACAAGTTAACAGCCTAACAAATCACCTAAGGAAGTTGGAAAAGCAAGACCACCAAAACCCTAACTTCAGCAGAAGAATCCAGACCACCAAAATAAAAGCCCAAATTTGGGACACAGAAGACAAAAATATAACACACACAAAACCAGTGAAACCACAAGCAGGTTGTTTGAAAGGATAAACAAGATTGATGGCTTCCTACCTAGACTGACCAAGAAAAAGAAAGAAAATTCCCAAATAAATACAATCAGAAATACAAAAGATCAAGTAGCAACTGACCCTGAGGAAATAAAAAAGATTATCAAAGATTACTATGTACACTTGTCTAGAAACAAACTTGAAAACATAAATGAAATGGAGGACTTTTTGACATCACACAACTTCCCCAGGTTAAAACAAGAAGAAATTGGGACCCTAAATAGACCAACAACAACCCAGGAAATCAACTATGTCATAAGAAAACTACCTACAAAAAAATTCCTGAACCGGATGGTTTACCAGCAGAATTCTACAAAACATACAAGAAGGAGCTGATACCAATCCTCTTGAAAGTATTCCAGGCAATCAAAAAAAGATGGAACTCTCCCAAAATCATTTTATGAAGCTAACATCACATTGATAATCAAACCAGGTAAAGATTCAACAAAGAAAGAGAACTACAGGCCAATATCCTTGATGAATATAGATGCTAAAATTCTCAACAAGATTCTAGCAAACCAGATCCAACAACACATCTCAAAAGTCATTCACCATGACCAAGTTGGCTTTATCCCTGGGATGCAGGGCTGGTTCAACATCCACAAGACCGTAAACATAATTAAATATATCAACAGATGTAAAAACAAAAACTAAACGATTATATCATTAAATGTAGAAAAAGCTTTTGATAAAATCCAGCATCGCCTTCTTGATAAAAACCCTCAAACAGCTAGACATAATGGAACATACCTCAAAATAGTAAGAACTACCTATGAGAAACCTACAGCCAACATACTACTAAACAGACAGACATAGGAACCATTTCCCCTGAAAAGTAGAGCAAGACAAGGATGCCAACTCTCACCCCTTCCTGTTCAACATAGTATTGGAAGTCCTGGCTGGAGCAATCAGACAAGAGAAGGAAATCAGGGGTATCCAAATAGGAAAAGAGGAAGTTAAGTTATCCTTCTTTGCAGACGACATGATTCTATACCTCGAAAACCCAAGAGATTGTCAAAACCTCCTTGCACTGATAAAGGACTTTGGTATCGTCTCAGGGCATAAAATAAACATGCAAAAGACAGTCTCATTCCTATACACCAATAATAAACAAAGAGAAATCCAAATAAAAAGCACAATCTCATTCACAATAGCCACAAAAACAATGAAGTACCTCGGCATCTTCCTAACCAGAGAAGTCACAGACTTTTACAACAAAAACTACATGTACACTGCTCAGAGAAATCATAGATGACAAAATGGAAAAATATTCCATGCTCATGGATTGAAAAAACCAACACTGTTAAGATGTCCATCCTACCCAAAGCAATCTACAGATTTAATGCAATACCCATTAAATTGCCAGTAGCATTCTTCTCAGACCTGGAAATGACAATACAGGAATTCATACAGAAACATAAACCACCACAAAAAGACAAAACAATCCTCAGCAAAAAAAAAAAATAAAAAAATAACAAAGCAGGAGGTATCACACTCCCAGACTTTAAACTTTATTATAAAGCTACAATAATCAAAACAGACTGGTATTGATATAAGAACAGGCATATAGACCAAAGGAACAGGACTGAGATTCCGGAAGCAAAATCTCAATTTCTCAACCAACTCATCTTCAACAAAGTCTCCACCACCAACCACTGGGGAGAGGAGAACCTATTCAGTAAATGGTGCTGGGAAAACTGGCTGACCACATGAAGAAGATTAAAACAAGACCCCTACCTATCACCATACACAAAAATCAACTCTAAATAGATCAAAGACCTAAATGTAAAACCTCAAACTATAGAACCTTAGAAAATGCAGGAGATACCCTTATGGAAACTGGAACTGGCAAGCAATTCCTGATCAAAACCCCAAATGCTCATGCAATAAGAAATAAGATAGACAACTGGGACCTCATCAAACTGACAAGCTTCTGCAAAGCCACAGAAAGCATCAACAGAGTGGGGAGACAGCCCACACTGGGAAAAAATATTTGCCAACTGTGAAGCCGACAAAGGTCATCTAGGATCTACAAGGAACTCAAATGTGCTGAAAAGAAAAAAGCAAACAGCTCTGTTACAAAGTGGGCAAAAGATTCAAATAGACACTTCTCAAAAGAAGACATGAGCAACCGACAGATACATGAAAAAATGCTCAGCCTCACTAGTCATCAAAGAAATGCAAATTAAAACCACACTGAGATACCACCTAACTGCAGTCAGGATGGCCATCATCAATAACTTAAAAAACAACAGATGCTGGAGAGGATACGGGGAAAAGGGAACACTTCTACACTTTGGTGGGAGTGTAAACTAGTACAGCCTCTGTGGAAAACAATGTGGTGATTTCTAAAAGATCTAAAAATCGACCTTCCATACGACCCAGAAATCCTCCAACTGGGAATATGCCTGGAGGACACAAATCACTCTATGAAAAAGATACCTGCACACACACATTTATTGCAGTGTTATTCACAGTAGCAAAAACATGGGGTCTGCCACACTGTCCATCGAAAGAGGACTGGATTAAAAAAAATTGTGGTACATATACAATATGGAATATTACCCAGTCATAAAGAAGGACAAAATTATGAAGTTCTCAGCAACTTGGATGGACTTAGAGTCTATAATATTGAGTGATCTATCACAGAAACAAAGAACTGAGTACCACATGTCCTCAATCTTAAGTGGTCCTTGAACACTGATCATAATACTATAAGAAGGGGATTGGCAGGGAAGGGAGGGCAGGATTGGCAGTAATGGGAAACTGCCAGGGGATGGGAGGAGCACATCTCATCAACAAGGATACTTGCATAATGAACATTTGTATACCTAACCCTGAACTGTACTCCACCACTTCAAAATTAAAAATTAAAATAATAATAATAAACTAATTATTTAAGGCTACCAGTTATACTGATGCTAATGACAAATTTTCACTACATATTATCTGTGTGTAGCTCTGGATGAATCTGAGAAAAGCAGTATGACACAAATACATGCCTTCTCAACTGCTTTCCCTGCCCCAACTCCTCTCTCATATCAACTCCAAGTTGAAAAGCCCAGAATTGGCTGCAGGCAGATACTCAATGTAACTAAAAACAAATCACAAAGACAATAAGTAGATGATTCTCTACTAGAGTTCAATATGAAATATTCATTAAGCCAATGTATTAAGTCTGTTTCGGTCCATAAAGCTATAACACCAAAGTCTCAAAGTGTTTTACCCTTTGGGATCAAGAAGGTCTCGAACTTTTTCATTATAAATTTCCATGTAGGACACTTCCACTTTAAAACTCTGCTCTTCATTTTCCTCTTTTTGAGTTCGTTCAAAGAGTCCACTGCAAAGTCTTGGGATTAATCCAGGTTGGTCAGCTGTGCCCATCATGGTATAAGATTTTCCAGATCCTAAAAAATGGAAATGAGAGTTACTATTGCTTCTTTAAACACATAACCCTCTTTCCATTGCTCACAATTAATTACTAGCACTTAGCAAAATGCCAAAACACATTAAGAAATATACCCAAATATGAGACTAGTAAGTACAGAAGTTTTCCCACTGCACATATGAAAACCTAAACTAAACATCTTTAGAAGGAAGAAAACCTTCTGTAGTCATCTTCAAAATTAAAAAATAAAAAAAACCGAAAACAACTGAAAAATAGTGATGTTTGAAAAGCTTTCTAAAATTAACTGGAAAGATTCATATATTCAATACTATTAAGCCAACTCTCAACCATAACCATAGCACAAAAAATATAGGTTATCCTTATGGGTCCCAGAGCAAATTAACTTACTAGCCTTTGATATTACTGTGCAAAACCAAAAAGAAAAAAACACTTCTAGTGTAAAATTATTTTCTCCATAGAATAGAAACACATATTCATTACGGGAAATTTCAAAAACATAAGAAAAAAAAAAAAAAAATGTAAATCACCACAATTCTATCGTCAGAAAACAGTAGCTACTGACACTTAAGTATAACTATATCCTTTTATAGTAGCAGTGATTTTGTAAATATGCTGTAACCATACAAATTGCTGCTTCTGTCACTTGACACTTCATCATTCTTACAATATCTAAAGCTAACGTACACTTCCCAAGTACAGGCCCTCTTCTAACATTTACACACAGGAACTCACCACGACAACTCTACAGGAAGGTCGATAATTTCCAGATAAGGAAGCCAGGGGCAGAGAGGCCAGTGGCAGGAGTGGGACTGGAACCGGCACAGCCTGGTCCCGGATTTTCTGCCCTTTAAGCCACTACACACAAGGCTTCCCCAAAACAGCCCAAACACTGTTCTGTGAAGAATATTTTTAGTTGGACAAGCTGCATGCTGTACTCTTACAAAAGTAACAAGTTCACTTTAGATAGATTTTCTTTTCTTGACCACAGAGATACAAAAGCCAAAAAGCTGCTTATCAGTTATAACTGGCAAGGTATCAAAAAGAATGTTATTTTGGATATTTTCTCTGTTATGATCCCTAAAGCCTAGGAAAAAGCCTGATATATAGGAAGGGCTAGTACTATGTTCAACAGTCAAACTTTGTAACGCATTTTTTAAAAAAAAACTCTACACCCATTTTAAAAACATATCATTGACTACTTTCATCATCTACAGTATTTTCTGAAAAGGAAAATAACCAAGAATAAATCAGCAATATGTCACTTAGTAAACATGGTTCTGTTTTTCTCTTTCATTGATAGGTATTTGCTTATGTGATTTCACATTAGTTAATATTACCAGTCTGTCCATAGGCAAAGATACACGCATTGTAGCCATCAAAAGCATTCTGAAGAATATTCTCCCCAAGGCACTTGAAAACAACATCTTGTCCTGAAAGGGGGGGCGGGGGGAGTTTTAAGGTAAAACTACATATGAACAATTTAAAAATCAAACAAGCAAAAACCTCAAAAATGTACAATCACTTTATTTATCTCAAGACAAGGTTTTTAACCTTGATAAATGCTTATGTCCTTCAGGTTATTTCTAGTTAGCACATGAAGGAAAAACAGTAAAAAGCTCCCTGTAATACATACTCAAATAAATACACACTGACCAAGAAAACCCTGTGATGTCGAGATCCAGTAAGCTGCTTATTTCATAATCAATGATTATAAATATCTGAAATTTATACTTGGGACCGAGGTATATCTGAATTTAACTATGTACCACTCAGCAATACTTTTATTCAGTGGTTACTAGAGTTCAGAACAATCATACATACCAATTCCCTCTCTCTCCTTTTCCTCAATGATAATTTCTAATTACAGAGTTTACAATACATACCAGTTAGGTCAGGGAGTAGGACCCTGGAAATCTCCTTCAGCTTTCATTCATGGATATAACAACAAAGTCAAGGTCTCTCACACAGGCCAAATGAGACAAGCCAATGGTCGATGATCACATGCGAACCTCACAAGTCATCCTACCTCAGTCTCAAATACAATACAGAAGAACTGGGTGCTTTCATATTTTGGCAATAAAATAAAGGAAGCAAAAGGCTGTCACTGTAGTTCTAAACGTGAGGTGGAATGGGACTTGAGATAGTCATTGTTTAGAAGAATAAAATAGTAATCGATTTCTAGAGAAAAATAAAAATTTAGGGAGAATATGGTGTATTTCTCTTCATCAAAGAGAGAAAACTGAAAATAGCAGGCGAGGTGACTTACTGAAAGCCAGCGAGGAAGTGAGGAGGAAGGCAGGGACTGCAGTCCAGAGTCCTTTTGTCCTTGGCCAGTGCTCTTCCTTCACTTGCCATACTGCCTCTCTGGACCATGTCGCAGACCTCCAGGCAAATCCAAGTGGTGACTACATGCTCTTAGCCCCATGTAAGACCTGGGGCTGGCTGTGTGAGTATGAAATACCCTCCTCTGTATCCCCTCGTCATATAATGCTATCATCTTATACCAAGAACGGCACACTGTGAATCTCCCATTTCCCAATCAATATAAACACCCTAATAGAAAACATGGAGGAAGCTATCTGAATGGTTTCTTCCAACCAAATACTAGCCAGGCCCGATCCTGCTTAGCTTCCAAGATCAGCCAAGATTGGGTGTGCTCAGGGTGGTATAGCCATAGATTGGATAGTTTCTAAAGTTATACATAATAATACTAATTGTGTACGAAAAAAATATTAAAACATCTCTATAATCAGTAGTCGACAGGATGCTGTACTCTTATTACCTGCATACTTTTCTTTGACAGATTCATCCATAGACCAGAAACAATGATCATAAGCAAATACCTGTTGAAAATGAACATAACTGTGTATTAATAAAACTATAACATCACTTAGTAATGTTATAATAATGTCATAACATTAACAGAACTGTCCACAATAGTGAAATAAAAACAACTCACTGTCAAACAACAGGGATTAGCTATTTTGTTTGTTTTTTGTTTTTGTTTTTGAGTTGGAGTCTCACTCTGTCGCCCAGGCTGGAGTACAGTGACACAATCACAGTCACCACAGCCTCAAACTGCTGGGCACAGGCAATCCTTCTGCCTCCGCCTTCCAAGTAGCTGGAACCACAGAAGTACGCCACCATGCCTGGCTAATTTATTTATTTTTATTTATTATAGAGACGAGTTCTCCCAAAATTGCCCAAGCTGGTCTCAAATCCCTGAGCTCAGTTAAAACTTTCGCCTCCGCCTCCCAAAGTGCTGGGATTACAGGCGTGAGCCACTGTGTCCAGCTGGATTAGCTATTTATATACAGTCTTACAATGACAACTAAACACCCTACAGTTGATTTATATTGTACATAAAAAAACTATTTGCAATGTAAGTGAAAAAAGTGGTTACAAATAAGATGTATAACATAATGGCTACTACACACATGCATACAGTTAAGTATGTACAGAATTACATAAAGCTTATTTTTGTGTGGTGAAATTAGAAATCTTTGTTTTCTTTATGCTTTTACATATTTTTCTACATTTTTACTTTTACAGTAAGTGAAAACAAAGATTTTTTAAAATAATAAAATTCAAAGATGCTCACTACATTATGGTGAAAATTGCCAAAATATAACAGAAAGTTTAAATTATAACACATCCATGTACAAGTACAGACCTAAGGGACTTATTGATAAAAAAGTGTTCATATTAATGAAAAAAATTATTGAAGTCTAGAGTACAAATTTGTAGGGGAAAAAACTATATGCATGAAAAGCAGGAAGAATATACATTAAAAATGATACTTGCTAGGATATTACAGATCGTGTTTCAATCTTTTGTCTTATTATGACTCTAAAATATGCACATAGTTCTTTTGCCCCATTTTAAAAGATTTTTATTACTCACTAATTATATCTTTCAGCTTGGAATTTCTAATAGTTTTATATCTAATTGTTTTTGTTTTGTAATTTAATCTCCCCCAGGATTTTAAGAGTAATTTTTTAAAAATTCACCTCAGCTGGGCTCGGTGGCTCAGCCTGTAACCCCACGCCTTGGGAGGCTGAGGTGAGTAGACTGCCTGAGCCTGCAGGTTCGAGACTCCCCTGGGCAACTTGGTGAGACCTCATCTTTACAATAAATCAAAAAAATTAGCCAGGCGAGGTAGCGCGCGCCTGTAGTTCCAGTTACTCGGAAGGCTGAGGCAGAAGGATTGCTGGAGCCCAGCAGGTCGAGGCTGCGGTGGCCGGGAGCGGCCACTGCACTCCAGTCTAGGCGACAGAGTGAGATGCCAACTCAAAAAAAAAAAAAAAAAATTCACCTCAGTTCACTTCTCATCAAACTCTCCCACTTTTGGCGTTAGTTGCCATGCTTCCTGATGTGTTTCATGTTAGTTTGCAGCTACATCTTAACTGGCAGTGTTTATTTTACAGCTTACATGTTTGCTTATTTTTTTCCTCTCCTGATGGCCACCTTTCCATGACTAGTTTATTCTGTCATTTCTGTTCCTGAAGCCCAGATTTTGGTCTTCTCGAGATCCAATGTCTCTACCCCTTCCTACTAACACAGACATTAGCTCAGTGTTGGCGAACAAAAACTGTTTTTGAAGACTTCACTCAAGGAGAAGCCTCACCCAAATTTGTTTTCACAGGGTGAGCTTGGCTCCAGCCCCCAACCATACGCCAGGCCTCCCATTAATCTGCAATAGCTGAACTTCCATTTGCCTCCAAGAACCCAGGTCTGATTCCAAAGCCCAGTAAATACGCAACCATCAGTCCCAGCTTACTGCTGGTCCCTCAAGTTATATATGCTGTGTTTTAGTAAGATGACATGATTTTAACATTTTAAATTATTTTATCTGTCCCTGCTATGAGTCTGGAGCTGACAGGAGAATGCTTCTGGGTGGGTTCACAATGCTATCTGGACCAGAAGTCTAAAGGTTAATTCTTTTTTTTTTTTTTGAGTTGGAGTCTCACTCTGTCACCCGGACTGGAGGGCAGTAGCATGCTCTCGGCCACCGTAGCCTTGATCTGCTGGGCTCAGGCTATCCTTCCACCCAGCCTTCCAAGTAGCTGAACTACAGGCACACCATGCCCAGCTAATTTTTTTGATTGACTGTAGAGTTCAGGGCTTGCCAAGTTGCCCAGGCTGGTCTCGAACCAGCGGGCTCAAGCAATCCTCTCACCTCGGCCTCCCAAAGTGCTGGGATTATAGGCGTGAGCCACTGCACCCAGCCAAGATTAATTTCTTTAAGAAACAAAGATTAAGATTAAGATGATAAATTAAGTATTCAAGCTAACATCTCTCCCCCATCTGAAATGATATGGGGCTGTGGGAAATAGAGAAAGGGTTAAAAAGGAAGAAGTGCAGAAAGAAGAGCAAGTTTTTGAAAGCAAGCTTGCTTGCTTATGTCTGGGTCACAATTGAGAAATCACCAAAAAAAACAGTTGTCATGAAACTGAAGGGGTAAGGGTGGGGTGGGGATCATAGGGAGATCACAGGTCAAAAAGGAAGTGAGTGGTTCTGGAAGTGAGGGCACCAGGAGAGGACCCTGGCAGCACCAAGAGGATGACTAGCTAAACACCTCTCAACAGGTGAGGATCAGAACAACCACATCTTTTTATAAAACAGCAGGCAGGGGATGGGGCAGTGATGAGGAAGTGAGGCCAGGGAGGCAAAGCAGAAGTCCATGGCCAGGCTTGGGGGCTCAGCCTGCAATCCCAGCACTACGGGAGGTCAAGGCAAGTGGACTGCCTGAGCCCGTGGCTCCAAGACAAGCCCGGGCAACTTGGTGAGACCTTGACTCTGCAATAAATTTTTTTTAATTAGCCAGGTGTGGTAGCTTGCACCTATAGTTCTGGCTACTTGGAAGGCTGAGGTGGAAAGATGGAAGGATCGCCGAAGCCCAGTGGGTCAACACTGGGGTGGCCATGAGCATGCCACTGCCCTCCAGCCTGGGCGACAGAGTGAGACTCCAACTTAAAAAAAAAAAGTAAGCCGGGCTCGGTGGTTCAGCTGTAATCCCGCGCCTTTGGGAGGCTGAGGTGAGTGGATTGCCTGAGCCCGCGGGTTTGAGACCCGCCTGGGCAGCAAGACCTCATCTCTACAATAAATCAAAAAATCAGCCGGGCGTGGTAGCGCGCACCTGTAATTCCGGCTACTTGGAAGGCTGAGGCAGAAGGATCGCCGGAGCCCAGCAGGTCGAGGCTGCGGTGGCCGGGAGCGGCCTCTGCACTCCAGTCTGGGCGACAGAGTGAGACTCCAACTCAAAAAATAAATAAATAAATAAAAGTAGAAGTCCAAAGGCTGACGATCCCCACAAGGGGCAGGAGTTCTGGAGCACAGAAGTCATGCACCCAGTTGCAGTACTGTGTTGTACATACTGGATTCTCCATATTTTTTCACAACTACTCATATGTCTATCAATAGTGGTGGCTCATTATGTTAGCCATTCTCAAACACAGAGAGGAGCGAAAGGAGGAAGATGGAAGACGGTTCCAAAGGACCGGGTGTCAAAAAGTCAAGTAGGGACTACTTTTCAGACTCCATTTGCAGCCTATGGTGAAATCACTACAGCAGAGTAAGATTAAACAAAATGGAAAGCTCAAATTGTTTCTTCTGCTCTAGTTTTCAACTCCCATCTGTTATAATTTTATTTAATTCTGTTCCTAAAAAGAAACCATCCTGATTCTTCCTATAAGCTTAGCTCTCCCTTCAAAATCCCATCAACACACATGTATACAACCTTCCCTCAGTATCCAAGAGGAACTGCTTCCAGGACCGCTAGCAGATGCCAAAATCTGAGGATGCTCAAGTCCCTTACATAAAATGGTGTTGTACTTGCATATAACCTACACACATCCTCTCATACACTTTACATCATCTCTAGATTACTTATAATACCTAATACCATAAAACTGCTATATAACTAGCTGTTATACTGTAGTGCTTTTAACGTCTGTATTATTTTTGTTTTGCTAGTTTTCCCCCCCACCCCCAAATATTTTCAATCCATGGTTGGCTGACTCCACAGATGGGGAACCTGCAGATACAGAGACCAGGTTCGAAAAGGCACTCTCCTCTCCATTATTACTGGGGTTTTTCCTTGTCTTTCTTTTAGGGATTTCTTTAACAACCACAAGTCTTATTCCCAATTAAAGTAGAGAAGCTATCACTAAAGTAACCAAAACAATAGCTAAGACTGCCTGCTAGGCACTGTTCAAAGAACACAGAAACAAAGGTGAGCATCTTGCAGTTAGTAGGTGGAGAGCTAGTTCTAGTCCTCAACAATATGAAAGTGCAATAGCCTGGTGCGAAGCTAGGAACTAATAAGCATTCGATTCTTATTTACCAATAGCACTAAATGGTCCCTCTTTAAGTCTGAGCAACTTCATAAATTATTATAAGTATCTTCCAGCCAAGGACTTCATAATGCAGATAAAACTTTTCTTGCTAAATAAACATTATTCCTTTAAATTAAGGGGAAAAAAACGACTCTGTTCAATTAACAGAGAAGAAATTCGCATTCACTATAACAAAGTCAAACAATATAGAAGCATAAAGTAAAAATAAAGTTCTCCCCATTCACCAAGAGTACCTTTTTCTAGAGATCACCTCTGTGTTAACAATGCGATGTTTATCCTTCCTTTTTTTTTTTTTTTTTTTTTTTTTTTAGTTAGTCTCATTCCGTAGCCCAGGCTGGAGTGCAGCAGCATGCTCACTGCCACAACGGCCTCCAACTTCTGGGCTCAAGCGACCCTTCCTCCTCAGCCTTCCAAGTAGCTAGAACTACAGGCCTGCACTACCACTCCCGGCTAATTTGTTGATTTATTGTAGAGATGAAGTCTCGTCAAGCTGCCCAGGTTGGTCTCGAACCCCTGGGCTCAGGCTATCCTCTCACCTCAGTCTCCCAAAATGCTAGGATTATAGGTATGAGCCACCATGCCTGGCCTCTTCCATGTTTTTTGGTCAACTCAACATTTGCTAAAGATACAGCTGAATTAAATAAAACAAGAACAGTTTTCAAATCGTCATGGAGTGGTATGCTCACAACCCCCGCAGCCTCGACTTGCTGAGTTTAGGCAATCCTGATCCTTCTGCCTCAGCCGCCCAAGTAGCTGAGACCACAGGAACTCGCCACCACACCTGGCTAAATTTCTTAAGTCTATTATACCAACAAGGTCACGCCAAGTTTCCCGGGCTGGCCTCAAACCTCTGGATTCAGGCAATCCTCTCGCCTCCACCTCCCAAAATGCTGGGATTACAGGCGTGAGACACCACGCCTGGCCCCTTTCACATCTTTATTGCAATCTCCAGCCTCTGCTCCAACAAAATAACAAAACAAAAATAACCCTGCATCTTTTTGATAGAAAAGATGGGGTAAAGTTTACATATATAAAGAAATCAAGCCGGGCTCGGTGGCTCTGCCTGTAATCCCGCACCTTTGGGAGGCTTAGGTGAGTGGATTGCCTGAGCCCGCGGGTTAGAGACCCGCCTGGGCAGCGAGACCTCATCTCTACAATAAATCAAAAAAAATCAGCCAGGCGTGGTAGCGCATGCCTGTAATTCCGGCTACTTGGAAGGCTGAAGCGAAGGATCACCGGAGCCCAGCAGGTCGAGGCTGCAGTGGCCGGGAGCGGCCACTGCACTCCAGTCCTCCAGTCTGGACGACAGAGTGAGACTCCAGCTCAAAAAGAAAAAAGAAAAAAAGAAATCAGTTCCATATTCAACATTTAAGTCATTCAGTCTTTGTGGTCTAGTGGTTAGGAGGAAAAAATTAAAAAGTAATTCAGAGTCCCAAAAAGCAACGTCTATCCACAGTTTAGCAAAAATAAGAGAGAATGGAATTGTAATTCAATCACAGACTCAAGAACAAAAACAAAACTCCAAGAATAGAGATAAAAATCTGAATTTCCTGGAAGTTCCAAGTAACTCTGGGGAAATAGTCAATTTAAAAAATAGTCCTGGCTGGGTGCGGTGGCTCACGCCTATAATCCCAGCACTTCGGGAGGCTGCAGTTGCCTGAGCCCACAGGTTCTAGACCAGCCTGGGCAACTTGGCAAGACCTCATCTCTATAATAACTCAAAACTTAGCAAGGTATGGTGGCGTGTGCCTGTAGTTCCAGCTACTTGGAAGGCTGAGGAAGAAGGATCGCCCGGAAGCCCAGCAGGCCAAGGCTGCGGTGGCCATGAGGGTGCCACTGCACTCCAGCTTGGGTGACAGAGTGAGACTCCAACTCAGAAAAAAAAAAAAACAGTCCTTGTGCCTACTTCGGCATGCCTAATAAAGGAGATAGCCCACCCCATGGAAGTTTCTTTAGAATCTGTGTTTGAATCTGAGATCAAGGTACATTCCCTTGAGAAGATTGCGGGTCCAAGCAGGTTTCTATTGGTCAGGAATGCACTCTCAGCTGTCTGGGGAGCAGGAATGATGAGTTGGACTTGCATGTTTTTGACCACAGTTTGGAACTACCGGTTTTGAGCAATCTATGGCATAAAAGGAATCTGTGTTGTAGTTGCTAGGAGACTGGCCAGAACTGGTCAAAGTGCAAATACAGCTTTTCCATAAACCGCCAGTCCCTCCGATGCTAACAAACAGTTTTAAATTTGTAAATAGGCTGACATCTTGCATCACTTTTATAAAACTGATAGAAAATATCGCCATTTTTGAGAAGAAAATTTCCAGAAATTCAAAAATATGTATATAAGAGCTTTACAAGCATCACATAACAAACCAAATCTCTTACCTTTGGCTGAGCCCTGAATTCCGAAAAGAGATGTCATCATTGGCATGAAAGAAAAGCAAAATTAAAAAAAGAAATTTAGTTTAGAAGATTATTTTTGAGGGTAAAAATTATAAAACATTATGCAAATTTGCAATAAGAATATAAAATATTACCTTTGAAATGAAATAGTAATTTAAAAGCTAAATTAATGTCCACTAACCAGTAGTGTAAGCTGCTAATTATAGAAAACCAGCTTGCGTCTCTAAGACAGAACGAAGATTATCTGAGGACCTGATCATTTCAAGAATCCTAATATTTCTGCTTTATGCATTTTGCTTTTATCTTTGTGTGTATCTTTTAAATACATTTTTCTAAGTCTTTAATTTATATCAACTGATTTCACTTCCAAGTCATCTTCTCTGCTTTGACAAAGCAGCAGCTTCCTCTTATATCTATATAGGCCCTTCTTAGAAACATGAATTCTGTTCTAAGAAAAAAAGGTACTAAGAAAAAAAGGTAAAATGTACTATAAGAAAGGAATTGGCAGTAGCGGAACACTGCCAAGTGGTGGTGGAAGCACAGAGCATCAATAAGGGAACCTGATCTCAAACCAGGCAAAGAGGGGACCAAAGGAAGTCCAAATCTTGCCTGTAAGATGACCACTTATCTACTTAATCTTGAATTTTACCCCATGTCTTTAAAATAAAAATATGTAGGCCAGGCGCAGTGACTCAAGCCTATAATCCCAGCACTTTGGGAGGCCAAGGTTAGGGAGTTGCATGAGCCCATGGGTTCGAGACCGGTCTGGGCAACTTGGCAAGGCCCCGTCACTACAATAAATCAAAAAATTAGCCAGGCGTGGTAGTGTATACCTGTAGTTCCGTGTACTTTGGAAGGCTGAGGCAGAAGGATCGCCGGAGCCCAGTAGGTTAAGCTGGGGTGGCTGTGAGTGCGCCCTGCACTCTAGTCTGGGTGACGGAGTGAGACTCCAACTCAAAAATAAATAATTAATTAATTAAAATATATAGCTCTTTGGGAGGCTGAGGTGAGTGGATTGCCTGAGTCCGCGGGTTCAAGACCCGCCTGGGCAACTTGGAGAGACCTCATCTCTACAATAAATAAAAAAATCAGCCAGGCGTGGTAGTGTGCACCTGTAGTTCCAGCTACCTGGAAGGCTGAAGCAGAAGGATCGCCAGAGCCCAGCAGGTCGAGGCTGCGGTGGCCGGGAGTGGCCACTGCACTCCAGTCTAGGCGACAGAGTGAGACTCCAACTCAAAAATAAATAAATAAATAAATAAATAAAATAAAATATATTTTTTAAAAAGTTTAAATGAAAGGAACAACTAATTTCTTGCCAATAAATTACTATAGGTTGAGTATTCCTAATCCAAAATATTTAGGACCAGGAGTGTTTCTAATCTCAAATTTTGGGGGATTTTAGAATGTGTGCGTTATACTTAACTGGTTGGGTAGCCCAAATCCAAAAATCTGAATTCTGCAATGCTCCAATGAGTATATCCTTTGAGTGCCATGCAGGTGCTCAAAAAGTTTAGGATTTTGGAGCATTCTGAATTCTGAGTTTTCTATTTGGAATGTCCAATACATACTTACTGAATCACTCACTACTTATTCCCTCTAGGCTCACCAGGTACTTCTAACCTCCCTCTCAAACGCTGCTTACTGAGATTTCCTCAGGGTACAGGAAAATAACTCAAAGTGTATGTCCAATATAACTGGGAGATAGTTTCAAACTTAGAGAAAAGTTGTGAGAAAGTACACAGAACTCCCATAGACTCTACCCTCATTTCACCAATTGTTAATACTACTATAGCTGCTTCTATTCCCGCCTTCCCTCTCCCTCTATATGTAGATAAATACATACATAAACATTTATTACTTTTTCATAAATCATTTGAGGGTAAGTTGAAGACATGATCCTTCAGTCCTAAACACTTTAATGTGTATATTTCTAAAAACAATGATAGTCGCTTATGTAATCACAGTACAATATCAAAATCAGACAATTCAGAATAAAGAAAAGTAATTTGGAAACTGGAGTAATATAGGAACAATAGCAATTGGCCTTTCTCAGAAGAACAAAACTCCAACTCCAGTCTGAAACTTGGAAGGAAAGCATACATGGAAATGTATCATTCCAGTTGTCTTGTATCTCATTTCTTTGTCTCATAAGATTTTCTTCTAAAAAGAATGAACATTTATTTACATCACATGACTTCAGACAAGAACACTAAAATGCCACAAAAAGTGCTCTGAGCGCAGACATGCGCAAAAGTCATGCTCAAATGAAATGCTCATTGCATAGGTATATGCAAATATTTCAAAATCCAAAAAAATTCAAAACCCAAATGTCTCCAAGCATTTTGGAAAAGGAATACAACTAGGTTTTGTGACTCCCTAATCTATGTTCCTTTTTTTCTTTTTTCTTTTTTTTTTTTGAAGAGGAGTCTCACTTTGTCACCCAGGCTGGAGTGCAGTGGCACACTCACAGCAGCCTCGACCTGCTGGGCTCAGATGATCCTTCCTCCTCAGCCTTCCAAGTAGCTGGAACCACAAACACATGCCATAATGCCTAGCTTATTTTTTTTTTTTACTTATTGCACAGATGAGGTCTTGCCAAGTTGCCCTGGCTGGTCTCGAACCCCTGGGCCCAAGCAATCCTCTCTCCTTGGCCTTCCCAAGTGCTGGGATTACAGGCATGAGCCACAGTGCCCAGTCAAAATCTAAGTTCTTTCCCTCTCCACTGGTAAAAACAGCCTTGATTTAGGCATCTATGAGTCACACATTAACAACTGCTCCTATTAACAGAAACATTTCCTAATGTATTAATTTCTTCCATTCTAATTATTACCCAGTAAAAGGTTACTACTTGGTGCTTATGCCAGTGTATGTTTATGATTCACTATATTTTTTTAAACTCCAGATTGTCTTTTCTGAGGGAAAAAGAAGATATTCAGTATATTTCAAGTTTAAATAAAATGTTTTTATACCAAAACAAGCTTTTCCTAAGAGACAAATGACAACTATGAAATTCAATAATATATGACACATAATAGAAGAATCCATGGACTAACCTGAATTTACAACATTGTAATAAAAACAATCCAGTAAATTAATTACAGAGCTAAGTTTGCAGCTAAGGATTCTGGTGGCTACAACAGTTAAAGCTCAAATAACCTGCATGGCCATGGGACACTCAAAGATGTAATTACAGCTCTGTACAAAAAAATAAATAAATAAGTAAATTAATTAAACAAAACCTTTTCAAAGGGTAGCTGCAATTTAATACAACCATGCCTCACCTATCCCAAGATCCAAGATCCCTTATTTAGAAACCTCAGGTATCAAAATCACCATGGAGATTCAGGAATCAAAAAAATATATCAGCTTCTGACCAAACAAATAAGATGTTGCAAAGTACAAGCACGAAAGCCGTAATTTCTCAGCTGAATTGAATTATTTTTGTTGTTGTTGCTTAACTTCTTTTTGAAATACTTTCAGACTTACAAGAGCTCCAAAAATAGTACAAAGAATTTCTGTACACCCTTCTCCAAGCTTCCCCAAATGCTAACGTTCCCCAAACGTTTTATATCACCACAGCTACAATGATCAAAACCAGGAAATTAACCATCAACACAGTTTATTAAATAATCTACAGCGAATCTTATTCACATTTTGCCAACTACCCCTACTGATGTCCTCTGGTCCAGGATCTCATATTGCGTATCGCTGTCATGTCCCCTCCAACCTGGGACAGTTTGTCTCTAATGACCTTGACACTTGAAGAGTACTGGCTACTTATTTTATGGAATGTCCTTCAATTTAGGTTTGCCTAATGCTGCTTTGTGACTAAATTCAGGTTGTGTGTTTTGGCAAGCATAACACAGAAGTAATGTTGTGCCCTTCTTAGTACATCCTGCCAAGAGGCATATGGAGTCCATGTCTTATTAACAAGTTCATTCTAATCACGTGGCTAAGGTTGTATCTACTAGTTTCCCCACTGGAACACCACTATTTTTCCCTTTGTAATTAATAAACATCTTGTGGGGAATAGACTTTGAGACTATGTAAATATCCTGTTTCTCGCTGTACCTTCACCCATGAATTTTGGCATCCATTTATCTACCTCCCAAATGGTAACTGTCTAGTTATTGGAGATCTTGACAGCCCAGGTGGATCACCAAGGATAGATGGCCCTTTTCTTTTCTTTTTTGAGTTAGGGACATGCTCTGTCACCCAGGCTAGAGTGCAGAGCACAGAGTTCACCGCAGCCTTGAACTGCTGGGCTCAGTCAATCCTTCCACCTCAGACTCCCAGGCAGCTGGAACTAGAGGCACACACCACCATGCCTGGCTAATTTTTTTTTTTTCTCAGTTGGAGTCTACTCCATTGCCCAGGCTGGAGTGCATTGGCATGCTCACAGCCATCCAAGCATTGACCTGCTGGGCTCAGGCGCTAATTTTTTTAATTTTTGGAGAGACAAGGTCTCATTATGTTGCCTAGGCTGATTTCAAACTCCTAGGTTCAAGAGATCCTTCCTCCTCAGCCTCCTAAAGTGCTGGGAATACGAATGTGAGCCAACATACCTGGCCTTAGATGCTTTTTTTTGAAGAGGGCAGCTTAGGAAACAACAAATGACATCGTTGCGTATTTGGGATAAGAACAGTTATCCATGAATAAGTTATTCTCTTCCTCCTTTTCACTGGCCTGGTTTAGGTTCTTGTGTTCAATTCTCATTTAAATAACACATCACACAATAAAAATAAGTTAAATTATATTCCTAATCTCTAGAATGTCAAAATATGAAGAAGAAATTTACTGATAATTTTATATAAGATGATAATCTTTGAAAATCTTTAAATTAATACTTCTGACCATGACAAAAATAAAATTAACTGGGTTCAAAAATAAACCACCCAGTATCATGTATGTGTAAAAAATAAAACAATGTCATTAAAATAAGTTATAAATCAATTACTACTGTCAACTACCAAAATCAAACACTGAATTCAAATA